CAAGGTAACATGAGACATACTTCATGAGAAATTGTAATATTGAAAGCATTGACATACACATGGATAGTTTGATACAAAAAAAAAAAAAAATCATTTATTGAAATCAGGGAAAGTAGTTATACTCTTTATTCTTAACTCAAGTTTTGTCTCATTGGGTGTTATGGACAAAGTTTTAACGAGACAAATATTTTGTAATGTGTAGTTCAAAGGGAGTGTTGTAAATAATGTGATCATTAGTGAATGACAATTATGCTTCTGCAACCTTAATTTTTATTAGCACTCTATCCCTAATTCTTTTATATAAATATGAGGATTTGGTTCTCAATATAATATATAAAAGTCTATTGACTTTTATATTCTTTTTTCTTTTCTCTCTAATTTATAAGAAATGCTATCCATATCAGTCTCATCTCTACTTTCTCTCTCGAGAGTAAAGGTGGTGTACAGTCGAAGTTTTTTGTGAGTCTGTGTGAGTGACACCATGGAACAAATGTAGGAAATGTGGGATAGCTTACGATTGAATGCAAAGGAGGAGATAGTTGATATAGATGGGGAAGGAGCAAAGATGGTGATGGAGAAAGGTGACCGAAGTCTACTAGGGAAGATATGGATTGACGGACAGATAAGTAAAACAGTGATTCAATCAACTATGGGGAAGATTTGGAAACTCAGTAAGCCAGCGATTTTTACTGTGATGGGACAGAATACTTTTGTGATTACGTTTGCAAATCACGCGGACAAGTTATGGGTGGAAGATGGAAGACCATGGTTGTTTGATGGCTCAGTTTTCGTAATGAATGCTTTTGATGGTTACACACCACTGAGCAAAATGAAGTTTGATGTGGCAGCGTTGTGGGTACAATTCCACAGCTTACCATTTGCTAGTATGTCAAAGGAGACTGGTATCAAATTAAGGAGTTCAATGGGCAGTGTAGAGGACATTGAAGTTGATGAATATGATCTGGGATGGGGTAATTTGCTGCGCACGAAAATTGCTATGGATCTACGAAAACCTCTGCCAAGGGGACAGATGGTGATGTTGGAAGGAATCAAGACATGGGTGCCAATCCAATATGAAAATCTCCCTTGGTTTTGCTTAAAATGTGGAAGGATCATTCATGATCAATCTAGATGTCCAAAAGCACTGGATTCAAACATAGGGGTGAAGCAATATGGTAGTTGGTTACGAGCAGAGGCTAGGAATCGTAAGTATAAAGCTTTTCCTACCCCTAACTCAAATTCACCTATTATGAAAATTGATATGGCATAACGACAAATAGTGGAGGAGGGTGGAGGCCACGGTAGAGCTCCAGTGCCGGACGATGCTAAGCAGGCCTATGGGCATACAGCTGTCAGTAGCGGAGATGCTGGGAAGGTGTGGGATACGCTACCAAAAAATAAGGAGATATCAGCTGGAAGTCTGTAATTGAATGAAATGGAATAATCAAAGGAGATGAATGGGGCATCGGGTGCGGATTCTGTTGAACTAAATAATAGTAAAGGTAATACACAGCGTGCACGGGCATTAGGGCCACTAATTGACCAAATGGGCTTGGATCAAATTAAAAACTAAAGCCCTAATGGAGATGTAGGCCTACGGGCTCCACATAAACCAAATAACAGTAAAGCTAAGCCCACTTAGAAGAAATGAGCTCGTGTACTTGACAACTCCCTTAACTTGCAAACTGTATCTGAAACTAAAAAATGGCAAAGTGAAGATTCAGAAGGGAAAAGTGTAAAGAAGAGATTGAAGGTACAATATGGCATGGCGAGAGGCAAGAATCACATCCCGGAAGATGAGTCTATCGATCTTCAACATAATGATTTTTGTGTCGGCAGAGGCTGTTCAGCAGCCCTGCCGAAATCTATGAATATCCTAAGCTGGAACTCATGTGGGCTTGAACTCACGGGGAGTTTGGGTCCTCTCTGATTTAGTCAGGGAATAAGATCCTATAATCATGTTTTTGCAAGAAACAAGATTACATGAACACAAGATGTATTGATTGAAGTTTCGTTTGGGTTTTGATAACTGTTTTTCTGTGAGTAGTGAGGGCAGAAGTGGGGAAATTACGTTATTCTGGAAGAAGGATGTTATAGTTAGTATTAAAAAAATTTGAAGAACTGTATTCATGCTTCAATTGAGCTATATACAGATGAAGTATGGTTTTTCACGGGAGTATATGGCCACCCGGAAGCTAGTCAAAGGATGGAGACTTGGAATTTGATGTGATCCCTATATGTCCCTAGAGGTATTGGGTGGTTGTTAATGGGCGACTTTAATGAGATTTTGAGTCAAGCCGAAAAGAGTGGATGGAGGGATAGACTTGATAGACAAATTCAAGATTTTAGAGATGTTCTTGATGACTGTAACTTGCTGATTTGGTTTTTCGTGGAACTATGTTTACTTGGAGTAATAATAGGGAATCGGGGAAAACAATCAGAGGAAGATTGGATCGAGGACTTGCAAACTTTAAGTGGAAGTCTATGTACCCAAAGGCTTATGTAAAGCATGGATTCGCCGCCTATTCTGACCATATACCAATCTCCCTAATTTTGCGAGATGACTCATCACTAAGGAAATAAGAGAAGATTTTTCATTTTGAAGCTATGTGGACAAAAGAGAAGGGCTGTAAAGATGTGGCGGAAAGAGCTTGGAGGCTTGGTAATGCCACTGATGGAATGCTTGGTGTTGACCTCAAAAAATGGTCGAACAGAATCCCTATCATGTTCCCTCCACGTGGATACCACCTGCACACGGAACACCCCATTAGGAGGTAAAAGGCCGCCGGCCGAGAAAAGGTCCGACGACAGTTCGCACTCCGACGGTCAAGTCAACTGCCGAACGAGGGAAATATAAGTGTAAGAGACGGGAGGGGAATTTGTATAGGGTTAGAAATCATACCTTAATTATGAACTGAATTCACATATATATAAAAAATGGAATGCTAATAGGCTCGGGGACCTAATGGGCCTGCTGGATAATGGGCCTTGTAAGATGGGCTAAATCCGAGCCCAATAGGATTATTTATGATGTAACAACAGTCCCCCCAAGTCTGAGTTGTACATTCATGTGCGAGTTGGACTTGAAATATAAATTATCAAGTAGTCGAAATCTTACAGATTGCCTCAGAAATATAAGTAGCTCCGGTGGGCGAGAACTGACGAACTGCCTCGAAAATATGCAT